TGGCCAGGAAGAATAAAGAAGGAGAGATGGAATAATTACTATCTAGTACTAATGCACCAAAATATTTGGTAAACCAGTGGTTTGTTGTCTGGTTCTTAAGCTTTTCTGTAGTTAGATGAGGTAAACTGGGAAATGGACACATGATTAGCAACCTAACTAAAATTCAGATTTTATCCAACAGGAAATAAGCAATAAAGTTTGATTTGTGATCAGCAATGTTTGTGAAAAAGAGCTTCTAAGCAAGTAAGTGATAAAAATATGATTACAAGAAAATTGTATTTGTTTCGATACAATGGGATAGGGATAGTTCCAAGTACTTTTAGCAGATTTTTTTTAGTAGGACTTGGTTAGTATGTTCATCTTCAAAAGAATGATTCAGGTAATGATACTGCATTCAAAATTATTTTCAGGGTAGGAAAATAAAAGTATTTTCAGGGCAGGGATGTAGTGTTGTGATAGGGCACTTAACTAGCATGCATGATATTCTGGATTCAATTTCCAAGACTCACTCTCTCTCTCTCTCTCTCTCTCTCTCTCTCTCTCTCTCTCTCTCTCTCTCTCTCTCTCTCTCTCTGTGTGTGTGTGTGTGTGTGTGTGTGTGTGTGTGTGTGTGAGAGAGAGAGAGAGAGAAATGTTAGAAGCTATAACTGTTTTAAGTAAAATTAGTCTGAAACTAATAAGCCTTTGTTAATCTACTTTTTGAATTACTGTGACTTTAAATCTAATGTCTGATTCTGCTTCTGGATCTTAAGTCATAGTACATTTAGGATTTCTTGTTTTACATTAGCTTAAACAACAATAAATCATAGAAAAAAGATTGCACTTAATAAACCTATGTTTGTTTTTCCATTCATTAATGCCCCTTCTTTGAAGTTGGTGGCCATGCTGTGTCTGTGTAGCAGTGTCAAACACAGCAGCTTCTACTATCAAGTACAGAATTATTGTCTTACAGAGAAAGGAGGGAGCCGCCTGTCTGCGAATAGAGCAGGCACAGCCTTTTTTCTTTTAACTGAAGCTGGTGTTGGGAAATAGGAAAACATATTTGAGCCCTGTACTCAAATATAAACAATCCATGAGTGCAAGAAAAGGGAGAAGGGAACATTAAAGTCTATGTAGCAGATTCTACTCCAAGGTGGTGTTCTGATAAGATTGTGTCAGCAGAGTCTGGGGAGATGGCTCAGTGGTTAAGAGTCTTGCTGCTTTATCCTGGCACCATTATATGGAGGTTCACAGTGGCCTGTGATTCCAGTTCCAGGGGATCTAATGCCTCCTGAACATACATGGTGCACATAGATGCCCTCAGTCACACACATACACACACACACACACACACACACACACACACACACACATAAAGTAAATATTTTTTTAAAAATCATGTCTACACATCTAGATCCATATACATCTCTATATACTTAGGACTGGAGATGTAACTCAGTGGTAGAACCTTTGTCTAGCATGTACAAGGCCCTGGGTTCCCTCCTACATACTACATACACAAGCACATATACATGCATGCACACACAGGCACGCACACAGAATCCATCTGTCTCATCTATTGCCTCTCTGTCTCATTGTGCGTGTGTAAGCATGTATTGGACAAAATGCTTATGCTGGGCTCTCCTGTGCGTACTTCTCCGAGACAGCTCATTTCACCTTCGTAATCACACTCTGGGCGTCTTTAATCAGTATCCTCATCTGGAGACAATGAGGCTGAGGCACTTGCCGTAGACCCCATCCTCCCATTGGCTACTTCGTGACGTGGACTTGGAGAACTCAAGTAACTTACCAGAAGCTGAAAGCTGACCCAGGCTGTTATTGTCTCTCTGCTTCTAGCATCTGCATTATGTTCCTTATTATGTTGCTGCAAAAACTTGAATTATTTGCAGAAGCCTCGATTCAAATGTCATTTCCTCCAAAATGCCTTTTCTAATTAACATACTTAGAAGCTTCTTTTCTTACATTCCTATAGGAGTGGATTCTTACAGGAGTGAATTTGGGATATGTACTCCTTTATATGGTAAAAGGTTACATACACTGTCCTAACTCAGGTTATATGATATTCACCACTACCACCAACCCCCACACGCACAGGTTTCTTTCTGTGTAGTCCTGGCTGCCCTGGAACTTACTCTGTAGACCAGGCTGGCTTGAGATCAGCCTGCCTCTGCTGACATTAAAGGTGTAGGCCGGCACCACCTGGCAGATTATACAATTCTTAAAGGCAAGAGTTGTCACAGGCATCTTGCTGTTCATACACTTCTTGAAAATTCTGGGAAGTTTCAAAGTAGCAAGAATCAATGCCTTAAAAATGTTAAGTGCCTGACTATTTGCAGTGTAAATGTCCCAACTGAATTCTAGTATACTTTTAAAAAATTAACCTGTATATGAGCATATTTCGTTATATACATACATGAAATTCTCAAAGAATAAGACAAAAAATTTAAAATATGAAAAATATAAATATATTTTTGTAGGGAAAAGAGAGATTGAAATAAAACTTTTCATCAATTGCTGTACAAAGTTTTCATAATGACTGATGAAATAAGTGTTCAAGAACCAGCAGTTACAAGGCTGCCTTCACTCTCCAGGACCCGTGTGAATTACATCATAGCATTACGATGAAGTCACTATTTATCAGAGGTTTTTTTTTTTTAAACTGTTTTGAATTCCCTAGTTATTTACAGCCTTTTTTTTTTAATGGCAGAAAACAAATGGTGAAGAAAGGCTCTTTAATCTCTTATAGTTCTGTGTTTGTGTGTGTATAAATGGTACTCTTAATTTATTGCTAAAGTATTCTGTGGCTAATACTAATGTGGTCATTTGGGACGCTAGGACAGAAACGTGTGTGTTAATGAGCTTTTGCTGCAAGATGCCTAATACACTGGTGCTGGTGGCAAGTACTGGTGATTCCACATCTCGGGAGGCTAAAACACCAGGATTGTGAGTTCGAGGCCAGCCTGGACGAAAGAGTGATCGACCATCTCAAAAATAAGGCTCTGGGTACTGTTTCCTAGTATCCTGATAGCCAAGCCAGAGTCAGCATGGGAGGGGACGGCCCAGTGGTGTGGCTAGAGTGAATAAGGACATTATGACAACAGTCTGCAGCTCTGTGTCCCTTGCATTGTCTATCCAGTATCCCAGATTCAAATTCCACCAGAGGCTAGGCACGTTGGGTGATATAATAGAGGAAAATTAAAGAGGTTATTGCAGTGACAGGGTTTCAAGAGCATTTGCACACCCCAGGTCTCCTTGGAACGCTTAGCAATCTTTTGAAATTCCTTTCAACTTTGCATATTTTGAAGCTTGGAGCTTTAAAAGTGGAGCGTTTGATCTTCACTCATTAAATACCCAATTGATCTTCACCAGGTGCTCCATTGATGTGACACAGTCACAACACCACAGCCATTTATTGGAAGCACCTGTGGACCAGTGTTGTAAGTCGTCTCATGGAGCTCTCAACTGTCCTTTGATGTCAGCATTATTGTCACCATTTAACATAAGAGGAAGCAGAATCACAGAGGTCAGCAAAGTCCCTGTGGGGCACCTTACAGTTTAACCCCAGAGCTCCCATCCAGTGAGTTTCTTCCCTAATGGGTTGGTACTTTTGTTAAGGCTTTGAGTGATTTGTATAATCTCTGACAACCTGGGAACCATGGTGAACCCTGGAAATGTCCCCTGTTCTACTACTTTCAATATCGGGTCAAATCTAAAGAGCTCAGAATCAACACGTCACTTTGCCTAGATATAATTTTTAGGTATTTTAGAATATTTCATCTTTTCACACAGTCTGTGACTCTGGATCTTAAATTTCATCTGAAAAATAATCTTCATCCAAGAACTGAGCTGTGTCTTTTGTGTGTTCCGGACTCCCTGCAACATCGGATACCAAAGTGTGAACTCCTTGGTCGCCTAGATTTTGTCCTGTATCCCTGTCCCTCACTTAGTGCTGGAGCCCATACCCAGCTCTATTGCACCACAGTATTGTAACTGAATACCATACCTAAGAAGGAGACACTTCCTTTGCTTTATTTTGTTAACCCTTTCTAATGGTCTCCCTCTGTCTTCTGTTTGTCTGGTTCCTTGGTTTTCCTCAGCTTTCAGTGTCTCCCTCAGCACTGCCAGGCTAACCTCAGGGCTCTCTAGTCTTTGGGCTTGCAGACCCCTTCTTCATAAAGTTACACAAAAGAAGTTAGCACTCCAGAAAAGGACACAATGAACACAGGACATTTTGTTTATTTTAGAGGTTCGTAATTCAAAACCTTGAGGACAGAGTAGCCCAGGAAGCTCTGTGTGTCTAAAGACAATGTGACCCAATACAAAACTGTATAAACTTATTTAAATTACAAGATTTTTATGAAAAAATGTAGCTTTTTGCACATTCTCCAGCATAAATTTTGTGCATAACAATGTTATAATGCAGTGTCTAAAGTGAACTAGACGGTGCACTATTTCTTCATAGGTGTTGGTTGGGGGTTTTGTTTGTTTTGTTTTCTGGTTTTCAAGACAGGTCTCTCTGTGTGGCAATCCTGGCTGTCCTGGAACTCACTCTGTAGATCAGACTGGCCTCGAACTCACAGAGATCCACCTACCTCTGCCTCCCAAGTGCCAGGATTAAAGGTGTGAGTCACCACCAGCATCCTGCAGGTTCTTGGGTTTTCAAACAGATGTTGCTGCTGTTAAGAGAAACAACAGACTCTTGCTTAGTGTATTTGACATAAAAGGAACTAGAAAATTGCTCAGTATTTCTTGCTTCCAAGTAGACTTTACAATGCAATCTGGATCTTCTACAGTGCAAAATCTGATGTGTAGGTCAAGTCAGCTTTTTGTTTTTATTTTATTTTTTTTTTTACTAGATTAGAGCAGAGACCTTGCTACTACACACAGGCATTTTCGGATAATAATAATTTTGTCAAAATTAGCCTCACAGTGTCTTCTTTTGGCATTAAGAATTCTAGAGTAAGTTTCTGGTCAGTAGAACTTTCTTTCTTTCATCACAGGATGGGAATGTCACCTCCAGGAGCTTTGGTTGAAATGACAAAGAGCACACTCCAGCTGCCGTTACAGAGGGGGAGATGTGTCCCGTCTGCAGCAGCATAGAATGGGCATGAGCATAGAATGTCAGGTAGGCAGACAGCGATTTTTACAAACATCATGAGGAAGTTATATTTGCAGTTTATGCCAATGAAAGCTAACCACTGGCAACTTTTGGCATTCTTGTCACACATGGGCTGTGACCTTTAAGAGTCTGGTTGTGTCTTAACAACCCATGCTGTAGACACATTGCTGTGGAGCAGTGGTTTTCAACCTGTGGGTCATGACTCCTTTGATAGCCTATGTCTCAGATATTTACATGACAATTCATAACAGTACCAAAATTAAAGTTATGAAGTAGCAACTAGACAATGTTATGGTTGGGGGTCACCACAACATGAGGAACTGTATTAAAGGGTCGTAACGTTAGGAAGGTTGAGAACCATTGCTATAGAGAGAGATACTGGAGCCCCTGAACTTAGACCCAGGTTTGGAGGTTTGAGTACAATAAAGCCCCTGAAGTCTAAGCTAACATGGCATTTTTTTTAATTAGGAAAACAAATAGCTCTGATAAGATGTGGGGTTTGGAGCCTGTTGTTAATATGGAGTCCCCTCATAGAGGGTTGTGGAGGAAGGTGGATTAGTCCAGTTGCCTTCTAGGCAGAGTTACTTTGTATCTGTTGGAAGGGGAAGTGACTGTTTGATTGATGAAGTGTCCCTTCGGAACTAAAAGGCCTGAAGCTAACTGGTCTGAATCACCCATGGTAGACGCAACAGTCTATGCCTTTGTTCTAAATTGAAGTTTGTGAGAGCATTTGCGTTTTTTAAACAATGCATTGTGTTATAAGTTTCTTTTAAATATTGGCTGTGTTCTTGGAGTCTTGAACTGTTTGCTTGGGTTTCAGTATGCCTAGAGAATGATCATTTGTCCCGGCCAACCACACAGCGAAATGCACTTTAGAGTGCATTTGGTAAACTGGAGATGTTTGCTCTCAGCTGTGGGCTTTGTTTTTTAAGTGGCCATGTGTCCTCATGGCACCTCCTTGGGAAGTAGAGAAGAAAAGCAGAAAGCAAGTGGGTAATCTCACCAGATGTCCCGCCAGGAGCCCACAGTGCTGCCACCTTGTTGCCAAAGTTGCCTGATCCGAGTGTGCTTCAACATCCAGTGCTGCCTCTTATGGTAAAGACCTCCCTACTTTTCCTCTGTCCGTGCTTGCAGAACCGACGTAAAGTAAGTTAGTAGTGTCCAACTGAGTTCAGTAATTAGCGTAATCACGATGCTGTGCATTGTTTGACAGGGCACACCCCTTGGCCAGCTTCCCATTAAAGAGGACACCAGTGTTGTCCTAGTGAATAAATCCCAGCCCACATGATGCAAACCAGCATGTTCCTGCCTGCTCCTCGGCTGCAGTTAATTTTAGCCAGCGTCTGTTCTATGAGTTGTAAAGCTGTGTACCCAACTGGAAGTTAGTGAGCTGAAATGTGACTTCTGGGCCTCGCGCGGTAATTGTCCGCTTTAGACTGCAGGTTGTTTATGGTCCACAGAGAAGACTTCTGAAGAACTGTGCAGCTTGTTTCCTTTCAAACTGCTTGTGAGTACTCTGGGCATTTTTAGCACCTCTCTTCGTTCTTTGTACCTTAAATCTTCCTAAAGTGACTACCATGGTGATTTTTAGATGCCGTGGGGAAACTGGGGTAGATGCTGCAACCGGTCCGTGTCAGAACAGAGGCACAGTGTTTTCTTTCCATGTGTACTGCTGTGGGCGCCCCGACTTAATCAGCTTTTCCTGGAGAAAGTATTTGACTCTCACTTCTTGTTTTTTTTAGTTGTGGATTAGCCCTTACTTGGAGTGTTAAAATGTTAGATTGGTAGAAATGGTCTCTATACAGAAATGTCACGGTACGTCTCTAGCCTTCTTTTCCCTGGTAGTAACTGTTGGGGAAACATGTTGACAGTTAATTCCTGTTACACCCTCTCAAGTGGACATGCTACAGAAACAAGGGAGCATCAAGCGTTGCCTCGCCACATGTGTAGATGAAAAGCATCTCTTTAAAGGAAAGGGCTATGCCTAAAAATAGACCTTTCCACTCCTAAGGAAATGCACTTTATAAAACCCATTTAGGAAGGTTTTAGAGCAGTGGTTCTCTACCTACTAATGCTGGGACCCTTTGATACAGTCCCTCATGTATAGGTGGCCCCCAGCCATAAAATTACTTTTGTTGCTTCTTCATAACTGTAATTTTGCTACTGTTATGAATCTTAATGTAAATATTTTTAGAGATAGATTTGTCAAAGGGGTCGAGATCCACAGGTTGAGAACCACTGTTTTAGGGGTGGTTTTAAAGTCAAGCATGTTCTAGTTGACTTAGTTATCAGTAGTATCTAAAGCTCTTAGCTGCTTTTCAGTTGGTCAGCCCCAACTGAAGTCTATGCTGAGGCAAACGGAAGATTCCAATGGTACTTTAAATTAAACACAAGTCACTTTGGCTACTTTGAACTATGTTTACACTTAAAGTAGAATGACTTCAAGTCAAGCAACTTGTTTGTATCACAGAACCGGAGAGAAATTTCTCTACTGGCTAACATGTAAATTACACCTGCTTTAGGAATGTGGGTTTTTTTTTTTTTAATGAAACAGTTGTGCTCCCATGTCTCCATCTATAAGCAAAGAGGAAGACAAACCCAGGATTAATTGTGAATGTCATTTTCCCATTTTGCAAGACTTTACTTAAAGGTTTCTTTGTTGTTGTGTGTTGTCTGATTTTAAATACAAAAGACATAAGGTGTCAACAATGAAAGGAAATGTTTCAGTAGTGCATTTTGTAGGAAAAGAATGTAAGAATTGAAAATAGCACTGAATTCCTGGGCTATTTTTAGATAGAGACATTTTTTGAAGCTTAGCTTTCTGAGCAAGAGAAATCTGTAATTATAATAGAAGAGTCCCTAGTGTCATCTGGGCAGAAGGGGCTCTGTTCCGGCAGGTGCTTCAGGATGCACATGTCATTGCAACAATGCTACAGCTCTTGACCTCACCTCTGCCCTTCTGAAGAAGCCACTGGGACCCCCCCTGCAAAGTGTTTATAATGGTGTACTCAAGTCATGCTGGTTTTCAAGCTAAGATTAATTTCACCGTTGGCATTTTTGATCCTCCCCAAAGAAAAACTGATTAGCATCTATCCATTTTTCATGTAACAGAAAGAGGTTTATCTGTCCGTGGGAAGCATGAGTTCTGCAGCAAGTTGCTGAAATGAATGAGTGATTTCTGTGTGGTGAGAGTGATCTAGGTTCTTCATCGTGGGGACTATGCAAGTGGGTGGTGGCTGGTTCCATGGCTCTTTTCAGTCCTTGGTGTATCCTCGGTGTCCCACAAAGGGGTGCTTGGCAGAGGTCCCTCATGAGTGGAGTTGGCTGTGTTGATTAGTTGTGACTGAGCATAACAGATCACAGTGAGCTCAACTCTGTGGCCGTATGCTGAAGGCCGAATGCTAAGGAACACAGGCTGCTGCCGTACTGCAGGAACAGCCCCACTGGGACCTGCGTGTCCTGCTGCCTCTTCGCTCCAGGTCTGCCCGCAGGTCCTGTGGGAGCTGCTCTCACTGGCCGCCTGCCCTCCTACCTTCCTCCCACACTGCCGAGGCAGGGGGTTTACTCTGCAGTTCCTTTAATTACAGAGTGTACAGCCTTCCGCTCCGAAGCTCCGAGGAGCTTAGCAGGCAGCCTCTTGAGTGGCTCCTCTCCATTCATGTGCTCTCTGTTTAGCCGGTTGGTTGGTTGGTTCATGTGGGGATGTGAACAGAATCCAGGGCCTCAGATGCTCACAGGCACTTCCCCTCTGAGTTACTTCTCCAGACCCCACATCCGGGCTTCAGTCAAGCAACAGCTCATCTGCATGGATCTAGACAACTGCATCCTGTAATGGGTTGCATTTGCTCAGTGAACACAGCCCCGGAATATTCTCTTTGAAAAGGCAATTTGGCAGAAAAAAAAATGTTGTGGTGTACCTGGTTTCAGTTGTGTTATCTAAAACTAAGGAAGAGTGAACGGAGTGAAGCCTTCAGTGTGCCTGTGTTGACTACAGTCAATAGCCGAGTGCCGGGAAGAATGCTGATGTTTCTGGGAAATACTGGGACAGCGGTTGTTATGTGCTGAGCACCTCCGCAGCGCACACAATACACAAAGAGAGCATAGTGCAGACAGCTCACGTGCTCAGAGTCAGCAGTGCCAGAAACGGGCCCCCGACATGCAGTAAACAAATTGGCAAAAAGACCATATGAAAGGGAGAGGTGGGAAATGAGAGCGCGGGTATGTTGAGGGCACAGCAGCATTCAGTTCCTCTGGGCATCCGTAGCACAGGATCGGACGGGCTTTCGTGTCCTGGTGCAGCTTTGCCCTGGGAGGCAGCCCAGAGCCCAGTTGTCCACTCCCAGCCCTTCCACTGCCCCAGAGAAGGCTCTGAAGTTTCTTCACCTGAAGCCCTTGTCGGGTGGTGGCTTCAGATCTAGACTGCCGAGTAAAAGGCAGTAGTCTCTCCTCTGTTAAACTGCGTAGACGTGGAAATCTGACCTTGAGTTCCAGGTTACATCTCCTCTCCTCGATGTCACCTGGCCCACTACTGTCTTAGAATGCTGGGTCGCCTCTCTGGCTTCTCAGCAGATAGTGTTCTGAAGGTCTGTGAAACATGACTGCAGCTCAGAGAGTCAGCAGCACATGACAAAGGATCGCTAACAGGCAGGCAGCCTCGGATACGAAAGACCAATGAATGTGTGCCCAGGATTGGGTCTGAGTCATTCACTTCCTGACCCAGTCCCAGCAGGTCCCTGACTTGGGTTCTGCATCTTGTTCATGGCTCTACATCTGAAAGAAACTTGGAGAGATTCAACAAAGAGCCTCAAGAGAAAAGAAAAAAGAATCAGGGGTTGGAAATGATAGCTATGATAAGAGGTTAGAGGACTTCTATAGAAACCTGCCTGAGGGACTCTTGGCATTTTTGTTCAAATACATATGTGCGCTGATCCAAACAGTAATGAGGAACATCTGGTATCTGCTGCCTTTTGGAATGTAAGCGGTCAGGTACAGTGATTGCCACAGTG